AGGGTCGAAAAACCAATTGGATTTGCCACCTGTTCGAAATTCTGTGGGAAACCTCAGTGCACAGCATACGGAGGCAGGTTCAAAGTGCAACACTGAGTTCACCAATATCATCATAATATCAGTTTCTCTTGCCGATGCTGCTTCACGGCGGCGCCGAGGCCTCATGATTCAGCTCTTGCATAGCCCATTATCCGAGAGAGGCGGCCAGCGGCAGGGGGCGAAGCCCTTACGCATGTGTATACATATGTATATATATGTGTATATATATACACATATATATGTGTGTGTATCGTCGGTGCTCTGACGCGGTGCTGTAAAGCAGATCGTCAGTCGAGGTTGAAGCTTCCACATTGCAGTGAACGTGAGGGTGGAGCGGGGTGGGTTGAGAATGGGAGGGGTTGCCCGAAGGCCCAGGGTCAGCCATTGCATTGGCAACCGCAGATAATCGCAAAGCAAGCAACACGCACCATAAGCAGACGATGAGGGCAACCGAGCCTCGAGGCAGCGGCCACGGCGACGGCGACGGCGACGGCGACGGCGGCGGCGACGACGGCGACGGCACCGAAATTTCGTTTCGGAGACTTGTGAGCGTTTCTGGAGGCTCTCGCCGCCGCGGCTGGACACGCCTCGCAGAGCTGCCACAGTGGACCCGGGGATGACACCTATCTTGAACAGAACTTGGCCGGCCCACCGACGAACGACGCCCTTCGGCCACGAACCAGCGGACAACCCGTGGCTTCTGGCAGTCCTCGGCGGCACCCGTCGAAAACGTCCTCGCCTCGACGACTCTTGGGGCACTTTTGCAGGCAGCGCTCGCCGCCACGGCCGAGCGCGGCCCGACTCGGGGGTCCCAAAACAGTGCGGTGACAGACCGCGCGCTGGCCTCGGAATCCCCACAGGCCTCACCGCTCGGTGCGTCGCCGCACGGTTTTGGGGCCCTGGAGGCCCCGGTCGCCCGCGGCATCCTCGGAGAACGACCCGAGTCCCAGAACCGCGTGGCGACCCCGATTCCCCTGAAGGGGCCCCGGGACACACAAAGTAATAGACGCAAATAAAAAGATTCCCCAATTGTTTCCATATTTTCTGGGTTTTTGTCTTCCCCCCCACTTCCCATATTTTTCCATATTTCCTGGGGACTCGACGATCAATTGCGTCTGTGGTTTTTTCCCTCCTGATCCCCCAGTGGCTCACCACGCGGTGCGGTCACCACACCGTTCGAGGGCCCCCGACCGACAAGCCGGCCAGGATGGGCCCCGCGAGGGGTGCCTTGGTGATTCTCAGAACGTGCGTTGGCGCCAACGCGTGCTCGTCCACCGAGGCCCCGCAGTACGACGAAGGCGGCGGAAGGAGGGCCGACTCGCGCCACGCCCCATCGGCAGAACCGAACGGGGTGAACACTGCTCCGTCGCGGCGCGGCAGGAGCCGTCCGCCCGCGCGCCCCAGCAGCCGGGGCGAAGCACAGTGTCTGGCAGCACAGGGGTAAACGCACGGTGGGGCCAACACACCAGAAGCCTCCTCGATGGGGTCCGAGCAGATGGGGTCGGCGCTTCATCAGCCACGTCGGCGATGGATGCATCGGCGACGTCGACGCGAGAAAATCGGGCTCCACATCGAGCCGCGTCGCCGATGCATCGGCGATGTGGGGCGATCCTCCGACCCCATCTACTCGGACCCCATCTACGAGGCCTTGAAGCACACGTCCAGAGGGTCATCGACTGTCCGGGGACCGACTCTGACGCACCGGGTCGGACGGCGGAGGCGGCGGCAGCGACTGCGCCGCCCACCGGAGGCCACTCGGCGGCCACCGGCGGGCCCGCGGCGGCCCGCGGCGGGCCCGCGGCGGCCGCGACAGCGGCGCGGCGGCGACCAGGACGGCGAGGACAACCAACGACGACGACGACGACGACGACGACGACGACGACGACGACGACGACCAGGTTGACGACGACGACGACGACGACGACGACGACGACGACGACGACGACGACGACGACGAGGACGACGACGACGACGACGACGACGACGACGACGGCAACGACGACGACGGCGGCGGCGACAACGACGACGAGGACGGCGGCGAGGACGGCGGCGAGGACGGCGACGACGACGGCGACGACGACACACAAAGAAGACGCGGGACGAGGAGAAGGTAGGAGGAAGGGGGGAGAGGGGGAAGGGGAAGGAGAAGGGGTGGCAGTCCGCCGCATGCAGTCTCCGAGCGACCCTAGCAGCCAGCCCCTGAAGCCCCGAAACCTCGGAGGCTTCCCGAAGCCCCTGGAGGCCCAGAAAGAGCCAAAAACATTGTAGCTCATCTATCCACCTGAACGGTCTCGAGCTCGGTGCACAGGAGGAGGGAGAGGGAAGAGGAGAAGAGGAGAAGGAGGACGACGACGACGACGACGACGACGACGACGACGACGACGACGACGACGACGACGACGACGACGAGGGAGAGGATCAAGTAACCAGGATCGAGGGTCGAGGATCGAAAAGGAAGGAGGAGAGGCGGGGGGAACGGAGGGAAGAAGAGAGGGAGAGAGGAGGGGAGGGAGGAAGGGCGGGGGGAAAGGGTGGGAGGAAGGCAAGCAGGCCATCTACCGCTGGCCCTTCTGCCCGACGGTCGGCAGGCCCAGCGTCGACGCCCGGCGGCCCGCAGCCTCCACTTCCTTCCCCTCTGCCCCCTTCCGCCCCCCGCTGCTCCCCTCTCCCCCTCGGGAGTCAGCCGGCGCAGCTGGGCGGGCCGAAGCGCTGGCAGCCCGGCCAGTGCTGTCTGGTGGCCTGGGCGAGACAAGCCGGCCTCGCCCCCGGCTTCTGCTGCTGGGCACGCCTCTGCCCTCACTTGCCTGGCAGCTGGGAGGGGGAGGAGGGGGAGGAGGAGAAGGAGAAAAAGAAGGATGATCGCGGTGATCCAACAGGCCAACGGACTCGTCAGAAGCCATAGCGCCGTCGAGGGAGGGGGGAGGAGAACTGAGGAGAAGAGGGAGGGAGGAGGATCGATGGGGAGGAAGATTGAGGGAGGGAAAGAAGGGCGGAGGAGGAGGAGGAGGAGGAGGAGGAGGAGGGAATTGTCGCCCTCAGTGGGGGGGGGGGGGGCCAAACGCGTCAGGAAGAGGAGGAGGGAGGAGCAAGGAAGAGGACGAGGGAGGGAGTAGCATCGGAGGATCGAGGAGGACCGAGGAGTAGGACGGAGCGAGGGAGAGGAGGGGAAGATGGAGGAGGAGGAACGCTCGGGGAGCAGCGAGCACGATCGAGGCCACGGCGCTTGCCCACCCTGGCGACCAGAGCCGCCCCGCCCAGGGCAGGCGCACGCACCCCCTCCGCGCGCGCGCGCGCCAAAGCCGGGGCCGCGGCCAGGCCCCGAGCGCCGCGGGCAGCAGCCGCTGGAGCAGGGCGCCACCCTCGGCCTCGCCGCGCAGCGGCGCCGTCCTGGGCGCGACGAAGCCGCCGACGACGACGACGACGACGACGACGACGACGACGACGACGACGACGACGACGACGACGACGACGACGACGACGGCGGCGGCGGCGGCGACGACGACGACGACGGCGGCGACAACAACGAGGGTCTCATCGACGACGGCGACGACGACGACGACGGCGGCGGCGGCGTCGACGATTACGGCGGCGGCGTCGACGATGGCGGCGGCTAGGACGATGACGGCGGCGGCGCTTGCTCCTGATCGCATCTTCTGTTGGGCTTGACGCGTTTCTGGAGTATGCCCTTGTTCTGGTGCGTGGATGCTCTGCTTCGCGGTGAAGTGGCATGGTCTGGACTGTTGTGCTTGCTCATGTTGTTGTAGTCGGTAGTGTTGGTGGAGTTGTTGGATACAACTCTGCGTGTGTTCTTCAGTGGCTAGTTCTGCCTGCCTTGTTGTTGCGAGAATATATGGTCGTGCGTGTGCTGTCTTTGCTGCGTTCCGTCAAGATGACCTTGCTGGTGAAGTTCTTGACGTGGTGAAGCGATGGTTGCTTCGTGATTGTCTGTTGTTGGATTGACGGTGTGCGCTCGTTGTACTTGGAGGTCGCGTAGCTGTGGTTGGTCATGTGATGTTTGTGCTGCCGTGTCCTCCAGTTTGTGATGTCGTTACGCATTATGCTCGGTACTCTCACATCTGTGATGGACTGCTGCGTGTTCCTCCCGTAGCGTTGCGTCGATGCGTGCTTTGCCTTTCGCATGGTGAGGTTGAGCTCTTGCACGTCGTGGAAGTCTGTTGAGAAGTGGTCGCGTGCCTCTTGCTGTGGTGCTGTCGCGTCTGATGTTGCTAGCACACAAAATGTGTTGGCGTTGTCTTTGAATCGTTCGTGCGATGCCTGTAGTCGTGCTTCGAATCGCTGTATTCTTGGTCGTCTCTTGGGTGACTGGGATGCTGCCGGCTTGCGCGGGTTGGGTGGTGATCGTTGTGCTGGGCCGCTGTAGTTTTATGTCGTGTGCACGTGCGCCTGGGCTTGGTGCGCGCTCTCCGTTGTTGATCAGGTATGTCCAGGGAGGTTGGTGTATGCGAGGGCTTCATACACGTTTATATCATGATATACTTGGGCCTTCCCGAGCATAGCTTCGGAGATGTTGATGCTAGCTGCGCTCTCGTCTTTGAGTCGGCGTATGTACTGTAGTGTTCGGCTGGCTATCAGCGTGTGGTCCAATAGCTGCCGCTTGATGACTGCAAGATGTTGTCTTTGGTGATGCGCGTCTTGTCCTGTGTCTTCGGTTGCTGATCTTTGTGCAGCTGGTATGCGTACTTCGGCTGCTCCTGCTGCGTGCCATGCTCCGACTTCGATGGGTGTCGCTCCTGGTTTGTCCCTGTCCTGGGCGCCATCGTGGTATGCTTCTGGTATGCTGTGGATGGGAACTTGGGCATCCCTCGTTGTGCGTGCTACATGCTCGCGGGAGGCTCCAGAGATCCGCTACCGTGCCTCCCTCGAGGCACGAAGTGGAGCTACCCCAAGGCCCTCACGTGTCCTGTTCTCTGTACTCGGGTCTCTGGGATGATCATGCTCGAAGGGCCGGGGCCCCCGGCTCTCAACATTCCTGAGCGTTGCTGCGCGTTCTCGGGCTGCCCCGCATGACTTTTCCAGAGGCCAACGGGCCCCAAGACGGGCCAGGAGGGCCCCAGGAAGGGCCCAAGAGGGTCCAAGGGGCCTCCAGGACAGCGCAAGAGCGGTCCAAGACGCCCAAGATGGCCCCAAGACGGCCCAACAGGCCCCAAGGAAGCCCCAGGAGCGCTCCGACAGGACCCCCAAGAGGGCCCAAAGAGGCAAAAATCATTGATTTCCGTTGTGTTCTTCGATGTTGCTCACGTTCTCCCAGTTTCGGGCTTCCGACGCTCCAAGATGGCCCCAGAGGCCCCCAAGACCGCCCCAAGACGGCCCAAGAGGCCCTCAAGAGGGCCCCAAGACGGTCCAAGACGGCCCCGAAACGGCCCGGGAGGCGCTCAAGATCGCCCAAAAGGGCTCCAAGACGGCCACAAGAGGGGCCCCAAAGAGGGGGAGCACGAACCGGCAAGTCGAGCCTTCCGCCCCAAGAGGCCCCCAGGAGGCCCCAAGAGGCCCCCTGGAGGCCCCACGGGCCTCCAAGAAACACGAAAAGAGACCCCGAGAGGCCCCCAAACGGCCCCCAAGGGGCCTCAAAGCTGCCTGCAATTGGCCCCTGGGAGGCCTCCCACGATCCAAACGAACATCCAAGAGGCCTGTAACCTACAACACAGGCACGGTAGCGGGATGGGCCGTAGGCCACTGGATAGGTTGTGACATGTGGTCGTCCCGTCATGCTGCTGGTGTGGTCGGCTGGTGTGGTTTGAGCTCTGGTGTAGTTTGTAGCTGTGGTTGCGGTTGTGGTGGGTGTGGTCTTTGTTCCACATGGTGTAGTGTTCGATAGTGCTGGCAGTATGTGTCGCTGTTCTGTTGCTGGCTGGGTTGTCTTGGAGTCGTGTAATACGCTGGGCTTCGCTGTGATGGGTAAGTCGTGCCAAGTGGCTGATTTCGATGACGTGATAATTTCCCTTGTTGCTGCTGGTAGGTCGGTCCTTTGCCCTTGCCGTGATTGTGCTGATGTTGGATAATACCTGTTCATGTGCCTTCACCCTTGGCAAATGGGTTTGCGCGTAGTCTGCCATCAAGTCGTGCATCGAACCAATGGATGTTGTGCGCTGTGGTGTTGGTCGAGTCGTTGTCGAGCTGAATGGAAATGCTGCTGGGTGTGCTGATCGAGCCAAGTACGTGCTGAGGCTAGTCGTACTAGTGTGCGTGTTGCTGCTCGTCGTTTTCGCTCTCGTCGATGCCACGCGGGATTGTTAGTCGTGGTTCTCGCTTACTGCCTGCAAAATGCCGTGCAATACGATGAAATCGGTATGAGAAAAAATGTACGAGGCAATGGGAGACAAGAATATGTAGATAACTGGAGGAGAAAGAATGTAGGAGGTGTAGGGTGAAAGGATACTGAGGGCGAGATCGTGGCCTATTGGCGCACTGCCACTTACACGCCTCACTCGCTTGGCGGTTGGTGGCCTCCTCCGCCTTCCTCCTCCTCCTCCGCCTCCTCCTCCTCCTCCTCCGCCGCCTTCCTCCTCCTCCTCCGCCTCCTCCTCCGCCTCCTCCTCCTCCTCGGCCTCCCGGCGCAAGCGCGCCGTCCTGAGCGCGTCGGCGTAGGGGCTTCGCAGCGCAGAGCGCAGGCGTCCGAGGCGTGGGGGCGGCGGCAGCGCCTTGACGAGGAAGCCCCCCTGGCCCTCGAGCTGGTAGCCCAGGCGCCGGTAGTAGCCCCGGACGCCGACGCCTGCCGACGGGCAGCGTTTTTGGGGGACCAGCTCGGCTCAGGGGTAGGGTAGGGTCATAAGTGGCAGGGTTATCTGGATTCCAGGAGTCATTTGGGGCCTGATGAGGGGTAGGATCATAGGGGTAGCCTTGGGGAGATGGGCTCGGGGGGCAAGACTATCGACCTGGGGTCGGCGATACATCACCAACAACGCCGATGGCGAGTTCGCACATTCCAGGAATAGGTGAGGTATAGGGCCCCTCTCGGCGATGCATGGGCGATTGGGGGCCGATGCACCCCCCCCCCCCTGAGCCAATCCCCGTCCTTTTTCTCGACAACACGCAAGAGTGACCCAGGGCAAGAGGGACTTTTGGTGCACGGCTCTCGAGGGGGGCGCGAGGGGCGCCAAACCCAGGCGAGCAAGCCGCTGCTGTCGCATCGCGCTCAGCGATCGGGGGAGCCCAGTGGGCCCGTACGAAAGAGGTCAGTTCCGGCGAAGGGTCACTGCTCCGTGCAGCCGAACGCGGCCCCCGACCTGCGATCACCGCGATCCGCTCGAAGCCCCTGGCCGCGGCGATGGCCTCGGCCCGCTCCATCAGCGCGCGGCCGAGGCCGCGGTGCTGCGCACGCCCCTCCGCGTCCGCCGCGCCCGTGGTGGGGGTCATCTGGCCATAGACGTGGAGCTCCCGGACCTGAGCGCTGGACGCCCGAAATGGGTATGGAAAAGACAGGCACGATGCCCAACCACAAATACTGTCCAGAACCGACAGGGGCCGCTGTTGCGCACGGTCTCAAATGGACAAAGCCCGTTGCGGCACCGATAGCGAGTCCTGTTCGAAGTGAACTGGACTTGCTGTCGGTCGTCGTATCCATTTCGATCGTGCCGATCGTGCCGATGAGCATCGTTTGACCGATCCCCATCCCAACTGGCGTGGGACGGTCCCGTTCACCGGTTAACCGGGGACGATTCCGACTTTGCCAGCGCTGTTTTCTACAGTTTGCACTTTTAGGAATATCAAACCCGATCGTTCACTCTCGTAAGATGGCTAACGCCCGCTTGCTGGCTCTGGAGAACTGCACAGTTCAAGTGCGGTTGCGTACGAGACTTTCTTCCCGCGCATCGCTGGTGGACGCTTGCTGTTCCACTGCGAGGGCGCCTCCCCTGGATTGGCCCTCTTCGTTTCGGACAACTTGCTTCGTGAAATTGGCTTGCAGGATACCCTGGAATTTGAGTCGCACCACGTCCTCGTGGAGGGGGCTGCTCACGGCTTCTAGTACAACGTTGAGAGCGCAACACGATGATCAGAGTGAGGGGGCCGAACGGTCATTCACTGTCCCTGGGTGCGTGGCTGAAGTGGGATTCCGCGGAGCGGATTGTAATTGTTTAATTATTCGTTTGCTTGCTTGCTTGCTTGCTTGTTGACTTGTTAGTTTGCTTGTTTGTTTGTTTGTTGTTGTTGTTTGTTGATGTCGTCCCACTCGCAACCCTGCCCGCGATCCAACAGCGACCCGCCCGCGACCCACCCGCGACCCGCCCCCGACCCACCCGCGACCCACCCGCGAACAAACGCGACCCACCTCGCGACCCACCCGCGACCCTCCCGCGACCCACCCGCGACCCACCCGCGACCCTCCCGCGACCCACCCCGAGACCCACCCGCGACCCTCCCGCGACCCACCCGCGACCCACCCGGCGCCCGCCCCCTCACTGTTCTCCGCAACTACGGGATCCTACCTACATGAACGTGCATTTGAACAGCCATTCCAGTCCCACACGGGCTGCCAAATTCCGTGCGCTGACCCAGGCGGTGATTCAACTGCGAACGAATGGGAGACATGGTTGCCTTGAGAGCAACGTTGGCGGTGACAAAGAACTTCCTAGTGGATCCCGACCCATCCTCTTCCTCGGTATCCGAAGCGTCGCATCCAAGTATGCCTGTTTGGGATGCCTGGGATTAGTTTCTGCAATCTGTGAGCGCCAATAGTCGGGCGAACTCGACGATTCCACTTTCCGGCGAGATGGGCTTTCCAACTCCAGCGAAAAATGGTGGATTGTAAAAAGTGCTGGACTGCGCCTGGCCCACGTTACACATCTCCTCTCTGCTGCGATGAGAATGGAGACGGCGAGATGCTTGGACGTGTACCAGGTTGCACCTTGGGCGCGCACCGGTGGGAACGCGAGCGAGCTGAGGCCTGTCACCCCCTGTGCTTTGGCGTACCATGCTTCTCATGGCATCAGAGGTCTCACGGCTACGGAGGCCGTGGCCGAGGCCCGGAGCCGAGGGCGCGGGCGCGCCCCCAGGTGCAGCAGCTACCGCCTGTTGTATCCGAAGATGCACGCAGCTGAATTTCCAGTTGCGCGCCACACGGTTGAAGCTCGACTTGCCGCCCGCGGGCTGCTGTGGCAGCCAGTGCAGCTTACTCTGTCCGGCCTGCCGTCCAGTGTCCCGTGCGAGCACCGCATCGCCTCAATGCGCAGGCTACTGACCGGCGAAATGACGACGCAACGGATGGCCACCGTGTCTGGCAGGGACGCGTTGCCATGCTCTTTCTGCCAGTCACCCGCAAGTGATTCACTTGTCACCGCGACTCGTGCATTGTCATGCGTTCACTGCGTGCTGACTTGCCACCAGAACACACCCAGTTCACAATCCTGCAACTTGGGCTCCAGGAGCACCGTGGCAGAGGTTCAAGTCTCCAGCAGGTGCTCGCAATCACAAGCGCCATGACGCGGTTGCGTCGATTATTTTTGCAAGGCCACACTTTCCTGTCATATGGCGCGATATGCTTCGCCACGTGCGGCGAGTAAGTGACGACCCGCGGCTGGCGGGCAGCACTCAGGAACTCACGCGTTCGGAGAGGCGCGGATTCAGAGCGATGGTCGCGCCTAATTTTCACCCTGGGTGGACGATCTATGCCTCAAACGGGGCTGCTCGCCAACAACAGGCAATCGGGCACCGCCAATAATCTGTCGGCAGCTTCCGTTTTCACAAGAACGAAAGACGTGGAGCTGCATGTTATAACGTGTTCCTCGGAGACGCAACGAACAACGAGGCTGCATGTGCAGGGGTGTTACTTTCCATTGAGCACCCTGTGGAGAATCCTTCTCCGAGAATCCGTTTCGTGCTGGATTCTCCTTCGGTGGCTCAGCAGTTGAGCTACGAGTGGAGATGTGCGTCCTTTGCTTTGCGACCAGCCTAACAGCGCGCTTTGGCGATGCTTGACGGGCTGCGCCGTCTACCATCCGTGTTAGAGGTGCGCATAGAATACGTGCATCGTAAGTTCAACACGGGTGCGGACTCGGTGTCCAACTTGGTCTTAGACAGAGTGCCAGGCAACGTGTCGCGAAACGCCCCTGGCCGTGACGTATTCGTGAACTGAGCGCCGCTTGGACAAATTATCCCAGTGCGACCCTACCTAGGAGATGGAGCATTTAGGAAAGCAACATCTACATCTACACCGACAGCTACATGTACATCTACACCTGCATCTATGCTATGCTATGCTATGCTATGCTGCGCTATGCCATGCTATGATATGCTATGCTATGCTATGATATGCTATGCTTGGCTATGCTATGCTATGCTATGGTATGTTATGCTTGGCTATGCTATGCTATGCTGTGCTAATGCTGCGCTGCGCTATGCTGCGCTGCGCTAAGCAAAGCTAAGGTAAGCTAAGCTATGATAAGCTAAGCTAAGCTAGGCTAAGCTAAGCTAGGCTAGGCTAGGCTAGGCTAGGCTGAGCTAAGCTAAGCTAAGCTAAGCTAAGCTAAGCCAAGCTAAGCCAAGCTCAGCTAAGATAAGTTAAGCTAAGCTAAGATGAGATAAGCTATGCTAAGCGAAGCTAAGCTACGATGAGGTAAGCTAAGATGAGCTAAGCTAAGCTAAGCTAAGGTAAGCTAAGCTAAGTTCAGCTAAGATAAGCTAAGCGAAGCTATGGTGAGATAAGCTAAGCTAAGCTAAGCTAGGCTAGGCTACGCTCAGCTATGCTAAGCTAAGCTTAGCTGAGCTAAGCTGAGCTAAGGTAAGCTAAGCTAAGCTAAGCTAAGCTAAGCTAAGCTAAGCTAGGGGAACCCAGGGGGCGCAACTGGGGGAACCGCGGGGCGGGGACTGGGGGAACCGCCCGGGGCGGCCTACACTGGCCGGCCCCTTTAAGCAAACCAAGTAAGAACCCTCTAGGCAGAGCCTAGGTAGGGAACCAGGTTGGCAGGCTGACGCCTGGGCGGCATTTCTCTGTTCTGTGCCCCTCTCCCCCCCTCTCATCCCCCCTCGGGCCTCTGGGGGGCTTGGCTGTGCCTCGCTCCTACCCGCTTCAGGACTTTGTCCAATGCTGTACCCGCATGCCTTGGCACTCGTTCTGCCCCTTCACTTCCCTCCGCTCCACCCGCTGTCGTGCCCGGCGGGACTGGCAAGCTGTGCTCGAGCCTCCAGACACAATTAGACAGCTTCCATTACCATTTCGGCGTATACGTCATCGTCCGGGCCAACGGCTAGCAGAGCATCCAGCATGGATCTTCAGGATGCCTTCGCTCATCCAGCTCTACGCACGACGACCTGGAAATTTCCGTTGCGACATGACGCCCGCGCACCAGAGGGTGTATGAACCAGTCATGGCCGCGAGGAGTGCTTCGTTAAGGAAAGCAAGAACGAACCCGAGCATTCTCTTAGGGTGGAGGGCTCAGGGTGAAAGCCATATGGGTTTTTACACCTCGAAAATCAATCCGTCTTGTGAATCACCTTGTGCAGATTCAAGCCTCGAAGACAAATCGAAACGGCATTTCAGATTTCACCCTTTGCCCTCCACCAAAAGAAACTGCTCGGCAAACACTGGCGTGGCATTGGCACCACTGCCAGACTTACCCCCGGGTGGGGCTACACTCCCTTTCCCTTCGGGCTTCGCGGGGCTGTCCCCACCCGTGGGGGGGGCCTGGCGGAGCCGAGAAACCATGGGCCCCTTAGATGGAATGGGTCCCAGGGCCCCACGGGCCCCCAGGGTCCCAGGGCCCCACGGGCCCACCCCACCCCCCGCACCCCAGATGGAATGGGGGACGACGACGACGAAGACGACGACGACGACGACGACGACGACGACGACGACGACGACGACGACGACGACGGCGACGGCGACGACGACGACGACACGCCCACAGGGCCACGATCACAGGGGGGGGGACCCATCGCGCGAGGGGGGTGCCGAAGGCATCAACATGAGCTGAGCATTTTCTTAGGGTGGAAGGCTCACGGTGAAATACGTGTGGGCTTTCCCGCCACGAAAATCAATCCGTCTTGTGATTCACCTTTTGCAGATTCAAGCCTCGAAAAACAATCGAAAAGTCATTTCAGATTTCACCCTTTGCCCTCCACCAAAAGAAACAGCTCGGATGAGGGGGGAGGGCCCAGAGCCCTGGATCATGTATGCCTGTTCCTCTGGGCTTCGCGGGGCTTGTCGTCCCTGGGGGTGGGCTAACGGGTGGGCTCGGAAGTACCATGGCCCGGTGGGGTTTCCGCGGGCCGGGCCCCTGGGCCGCGACGCCGTGGACACGGGGGCGTGTTTCTCGCGGAGGACCCGCGCGGAGCGTGTCCACGCCACCGCGCATCCACGGGATCGCGCCCCGGAGTCCAGACCGCGCGGGTGTGGGCATGAATGCGTCCACTTCCCGTGGGGACCAGCGCGCAGCCCGCCAGCTCGG